GTCCGGCCCGCGGGCCGTAGGTTGCCGACCCCTGATCTAGGAGAAGAGAAGATTGAGAAGCAATATGATAGCTATCTTTAAATATCTGAATTTTATGTAGAAGAGGGAGCAAGCTTATTTTCTGCTGTTCCAGAGACTAGAACGTGAATCACCTGATTTTCTTTTCTTTTTCTTTTTCCTCCCATGAAATAAATTTTTTTTGGGGAGGGAGCATGGGGACCCAGATGAGCCCAAGACTTGAAAAATTGGCTGGGGCCTATGTGCAGCCTATGTACTATTCTGTAAAGCAGGGGTCCCCAAACTATGGCCCGTGGGCCGAACCCGGCCTGTCGAGGCCTTAGAACCGGCCCGCGGCTGGTTCTGTTTTTGCTGCGCACGCGTGACACCGGGCTAGCGAACCGGCCCCCTGATCAAAAAGTGTGGGGACCCCTGTAAAGCTTTTGATATAGGAAAGAGCATTTGAAGTGACAGCCTTTGGTAGAAAGGTGGTCTGAACAACAAGGTGGATGGGTGAATCTTGTTTGGTTTGGTATGGGACAGATCTGGAACTCAGGCATGCAGCTCTGGTCCAGGACGGCCTTCCTGTTCTTCTTCCCCCTTCCAGCCCACAACTCTCAACCGATTGAACTATTGTCAACACACGCTCTCAGTTAAAATGATTTCATCACTGCTTTAGTGAAGTAACACAGGGGATGTTGCACAGTGGAAGGAATGGACATTGGCTCACATTCTCTCCCACTTTTGTAATCAATGGGTACTTTCCACACACAACCCTGGATCATCAACTCAAGGAAAATACAATTTGGGTGTGCATCTCTTTCATATGCACAGACCAAAAAGGTGATTGGAAACAAGTGGACATGTGGATAGATCCGCTCTGTCATGTTGCTGTTCAGGGCTGTGAAGAGGGGCAGTTTGGAGGAGGAAGGATAGCTGCTTGTGGGGAAGGGACCAAGTTTGACTTAATTCAGAGGTGAGGGAAGTGTGGCCAATGGACGGCACGTGGCCCCCGGAAATCCCCAAAGTGAGGCTTTTTGCGAAAGGGCTTAAGCCAAGAAATAGCCAAAAAACATTAATCACGTCAAAGGAGGGCAACAAAAATTGTGAAGCGTTTGGAACCATAATTGTGAACCATAAAATTGTGAACCATAAATTGTGAACCATATGGTTCATAAATTGTGAACCATAAAGCCCTATGAAGAGAGACTTAGGGATCTGGGTATGTTTAGCCTGGAGAAGAGAAGGTTAAGAAGTTACATGATAACCCTGTTTAAATATCTGAAGGGGTGTCATATTGAGGATGGAGTAAGCTTGTTTTCTGCTGCTCCAGAGAATAGGACCTGGAACAATGGATGCAGGCTACAGGAAAAGAGATTCCACCTCAACATTAGGAGGCACTTCCTGACAGTAAGGGCGGTTCGACAGTGGAACACACTCCCTCGGAGAGTAGTGGAGTCTCCATCTTTGGATTTCTTTAAATAGAGGCTGGATGGCCGTTTGTTGGGGATGCTTTGATTTTGAGTTCCTGTATGGCAGAGGGTTGGACTGGATGGCCCTTGTGGTCTCTCCCGATTCTATGATTCTATGAACTCAAGCCACCACAAACACTCAGTGTCTTGAGTCCCCTGGCCACAGAAGTTAGCCATGTTTTGGCCAATTCCTGGAGATGGATGTCATACCACTTCCAGTTTAGGCTTATACTGGGTGAGTGGAAGGTGGAGGGAAATGTCCCCCCTGAGTTGTCCACTTTTGTCTGAGCTGAGAGGGTAGATGGAGGCACCTGCACTCTACTGTACCTTGTTCTGGAAAAGTTACTTTTTTGGGTTAAAGCTCCTAGAAACCATCAACCAGTATGGATGTTGGCTATGTTGAGTTGAGGAATCTGGGAGCTGTAATCCAAAAGCTGACTTTTTGAGCTTTTACCATTGGCTCTGTGATTCCAAGACTAGATCTCTCTCTTTCTTTCCCCCCTCCTTTGCCAGAGTGCTTCAAAGAGGATGAACAGCTTCCAGAGGAGCTCCAGCTGCGGCTAATCCATCTCTTCGGAGCCATTATCTCAGGAGCCAAGGTAAGGGTTTTCTTGTTTCCTCTGTGTCTCTCTCTGCACATTGTTGCTTTGTGAAATTTAAGCTCAGCATTCAAAAGAAGTCAAAGAGAATCATTCATTGGTGTCTGATGATGATGACCTAATTAGGCAATATTTGTGTTTCTGATTTGGTCTAGTGAATTGTTGAGTGTTTAGTTCCCCCCTCCACCTTTACCACCTCTGCATCCCATGCTTTCTCCATGAACACATTTAATTTTATTCCCATAACAAACCGAGAGGTGATAGCTTTGCCTTAGGCTACTCAAGGGGCCTTGAGGCAGGGTAGCAATTTGAACCCAGGTTATCTGGTTCCAGTTATCCATTTATTGCACTACACCGATGCTCCATTAATATATCATCTTGAGAAAAGCTATTATTTAGATGACGAAGTCCCCCCCCAAGAAGAAATACTCTCCAGAACTACACTTCCCACAGTTCCCTGGGCCAGAGAGAACAGCTGTTGAACCAGGTGGAGTTTTGTAGAGTAGTTCTGCTCTCACATTCTGCCTTCTTATCTCTAAAGAGTACCTGGAGAATGAAGAACTTTATTCCCCACGTACTCTTTAGAGATAAGAAGGCAGAAAATGAAGAGGATGAGGAGGGTGTTTTTTTTTTAGGGGAACAGTGTCAGTATGGAGGGATGCCTGCCCTTTAGAGGACAGAAAGAGGCTGGAGACTAGAAAACAAGCTTCAGAGTATCACCATGTTTTGTATAAGTACAATCTAACCTTGGTCCTCATGTGCAGTGGATCCAATTGAAATGTCTTCCTCCTTGGTGTCTTTAGCTTGCTATTACTCAGACATGAGCTTTGGAGGTTTATTTTGCTTCTGTTTTTTCTTAACAGCAAAATGCTCT